TCTTTCACAAATACATGGTTTTTTTAACTGGATTATTTGAAGTACAGGCGATATTCAAGAAAAGTTAAATTCCTGTGTGCGGTCACACATAAATTGTTTTTATTTGTTTTATTACCACGATGAAGGAAATCCAACTCAAGTCACACACTTTTTCTGAAGGCAATGGCTGCTTCCGGATTTCACGTTATTTTCATAATCTACGGCTGATACAGGCGTGTGAACCGTGGCCATTTTCAATAAAACTGGCTTAAACGAGTGTAATTGCGTGAGCACTGCACTAAAGCGACGTGTTTAATTTTGCGTAAAAGGTGCGTAGCCCCCTGGTTTCTGCTCTCCAAATCTGCCCAATTTCACCATTTCCTTCTCAGATGTACGACCAGAGATGTTGCCGAGCTAAGTTAAAACGATCTGTTAATTACGACAGCTCAACAATCATTACTAGTGAATACGATTGTCACGTTCTGCAAAATGATCAGAAACTAATCAGTCAGTGGTGTCGCAAGTGAAATAGGACTTCAAATCTAGATAACACCGTTCCTATGTATTTTACAGAGAAGAAGAATGTACATTGATTACAGTATACTTTAGAAAATGTTCCATTGTCCCAAGTGTATGAATAAAAATATCTTGGTGTGTCTGCGGCTTCAAATGGCATCGTCCTGTTGATCATGTAATTGCAAGTGCAGCCAAGTCATTAGGGTTCTTGAGGCGCAATGCCAAAAATTTCAGAATGGCTACTAAAGAAATGCCCTACAAGATCTTTGTTGAATCGATTTTAGAATATGCGTGTGAAATGTGCGACCCGTCGATGGTACGGGATAAAAAACACATAGAAAAAGTACAGAATTTAGCTGTAAGGTTTGTGACTCAAAATTACACACTTACTTTTAGTGCTAGTCAAGCGACGGCGAATTTGAAATGGGATACATTGGAAAGTCACAGGAAAAAACTTCGTCTAAAACATTTTCATAATATTTTTCACTCTAAAGTTGATATTGATCGGCAACAGTATCGACTGCCCAGTCGCGGTGGAATAGTGGTTAAGGTACTCGGCTGCTGACCCGCAGGTCGCGGCATTGAACCCCGGCTGCGGCGGCTGCATTTTCGTTGGAGGCGAAAATGCTGTAGTCCATACGCTCAGATTTGGATGCGCGTTAAAGAACCCCAGGTGGTCGAAATTTCCTGAGTCCTCGACTACGGCGTCTGTCATATTCATATGGCGGTTTTGGGAAGCTAAACCCTACATATCAATCAATCAATCAATCAATCAATCAATCAATCAATCAATCAATCAATCAATCAATCAATCAATCAATCAATCAATCAATCAATCAATCAATCAATGAACAGTACTTACTTGAGCTTCGTTATGTGTCTAAATGGGCAGATCATTCACATAAAGTGCGTGAAATATTCTCCGGTACAGAATCCTTTAGAATGTGACTTTTTTCCGAGAACAATACGAGAGTGGAACAGGTTACCTGCTGCCGTAGTTAATGAAATATCTTACGCCTTGTTGACTTGGCTGTTTTTTAATGCCTTTCTTTGCATACTGGGTTTGTATTCACTTTTATACTGACTTGTTTTTGTTCTTACTGGTTATATTTAATGTATAAAGCCGCTTATATTGTGTTTAACCCATCACTGGAATGCCTTTAATGGCGCTGTGAGTATTGCGTAACTAACTAACTAACTAACTAACTAACTAACTAACTAACTAACTAACTAACTTATCAACAAATATAACTAATATAACTCATGATTACAGAGTTAGACAAGGAGAGCAAAAAGGTGGGTCTTAAAATTATTCTGCAGAAAACGAAAGTAATGTACAACGAACTCGAAAGAAAGCAGCGCTTCGAGATAGGTAATAGTCTACTTCAAGTTGTAAAATACTATGTCTACTTAGGGCAGGTAATAACCGCGGAGCCGAGCCATGAGATTGAAGTAGCTGGAAGAATAAGAATGGGGTAGAGCACATTTGGCAAGCACTCTCAAATTATGACAGGTAGATTGCTACCATCCCTCAAGAAGAAGGTATATAACAGGTGTATCTTGCCGGTACTTAGCTACGGAGCAGTAACCTGGAGGTTTACAAAGAGGGTTCAGCTTAAATTCTGGATGACGCAGCGAGCAAAGGAAAGAAAAATGGTAGGTGTAACCTTAAGAGACAAGAAGAGAGCAGAGTGGATTAGAGAACAAACGGGGGTTATTGATATCATGGTTGAAATTAAGAAGAGGAAATGGACATGGGCCGGGCATGCAGCGCGTAGACAGGATAACCGCTGGTCAATAAGGGAAACTAGCGTAACTGGATTCCCAGGGCAGGCATGCGGGTCAGGGGGAGACAGAAGGTTAGGTGGGCAGATGAGATTAAGAAGTTTGCGAGTATAAATTGGCAGCAGAAAGCACAGGACCGAGTTAACTGGCGGAACATGGGAGAAGCCTTTGTCCTGCAGCCGACGCAGTCAGGCTGATGATGATGATAACTAATGAACTAACTATTTAACTAATCGAATAAATAGATAAATAAATAAACCTCAAATGAACTCAGTCGAATACAAAGGACTGCGTCCATAATAAAATATTAAAAAGTAAATTTCGCAGTTAGTATCTGGCTGTATCTTTACAAAATTTGGCTGTATCTTTACAAGTTTTCGCATCGTTTGTATCATCTCACAGCGTGTTTCAATCGGGGCCGCAGGCTGGCCACTGAAACTATGGTCAGTGATGCGTTTTATTCCAGTAGAATGTTTAAAAACAGTCGACGTTTCTAGCAAGACCTTAAACTGTAGACGTGATAACTGGCTCTCAAGAGTGTGATGTATCATCTGCAAATGAATGTGTTGGGATAGTGCGAAATTCGCGGTCACAGAACTATATACTGGTCAAATGTATCGCTTTGGACAACTAGCGCATAATCCTTTCGTCAACGCGCGATTGACATAGCTCTGTTCTTCCTGGACCTGGTACACGGGAAATCTCTATAGAGTCGGGTGAAAGTTCAGCAGTCCGAAGAAGGCCCGGCCCGACGATCGAAGCGCAGAAGCTAGCCGGTCGCTTCCGCGACTAACAAAATATTCCCAAGCATACGCTGGGCAATCTTGTCGGAAGGCAAAGCTAGTGTGCGCTCATATGTGGAGGCTTCTATACATCATATTCTGAGGAGAAGATACCGCGGACTTCTAAATTGGTATCCGACTATAGGTAAGAGATCGGAATGGTGATAAAAAATGATTATGTACAGTTGGCCACCAAATTTTGCGGACCACATGAACGAGTGACCAGGAGCCCCTTCGCGACTTTTCCACTACCTAAGGGGCGACCGGCAGCAGCGCTGCGCCCAATACGCATTTGCCTTTTTAATCAAAAGCCCAATACGCATTTACCAATTAATCAAAAGCCTGGCTATTTTCTCACTGGCCTCGAATATTTCCCATTTTATTTCAAGCGGCGCGCTCTTCGGCAGCCGTGGCTGCGTGTTTCTGTCTTGGCCCCGCCGCGGTGGTCTAGGTTCTCGACTGCTGACTAGCAGGTCGCGGGATCAAATCCCGGATGCAGCGGCTGCATTTCCGATGGAGGCGGAAACGTTGTAGGCCCGTGTGCTCAGATTTGGGTGCACGTTAAAGAACCCCAGGTGGTCGAAATTTCCGGAGCCCCCCACTACGGCATCTCTGATTATCATATGGTGGCTTTGGACGTTAAACACCGCATATCAATCAATCAATCAATCAATCAATCAATCAATCAATCAATCAATCAATCAATCAATCAATCAATCATGTTTCTGCCTTGAGAGCAGCCTATCAGCATAACTCTCCAGTCGCATGCCATACACAACCACCTTGTGGTATCATTGAATGGCGCACCAATCGAAGCACGCCGCCGTATATCTTTGATTCCACTATCAAAGCAAGTGCGAGGCTCATACCGCACATAAGTGATTTGCATGAAAACAACGAACTAACAATCTTCTGCGTGGCAATATAAAACTGATATACCAGTGAATAACCAAAAGACCCTATTTGGCTCAGTCATGATTGATATGTGGGGTTTAACGTCCCAAAACCACTATATGATTATGAGAGACGCCGTAGTGGAGGGCTCCGGAAATTTAGACCACCTGGGGTTCTTTGACGTGCACTTAAATCTGAGCACACGGGCCTACAACATTTCCGCCTCCATCGGAAATGCAGCCGCCGCAGCCGGGATTCGAACCCGCGCCCTGCGGGTCAGCAGCCGTATTTGGCTCAGTCATTCGGTCGACTTTAGATGGCGCACCGCGAGGTGGCACGGACAGCTTTTCCCGCGCTGGCGCGGTTTGTAAACTTTTGTGGATGTCTGTACAATACGAAGGGTATGGTCAATTTTTTTTTAGAATTCGTTTTTCAGCCTTATGCATTAGGCGTACTAGAAATTAAAAGGTGACGCAGAAAAAAACAAAACGAAAAAAAAAGAAGACGTTTACACGGAAGAGTACGAGGGCAAGTGCTCCTTCCCATGTGAACGTGTAGCCTCTCCGCACAACATTTTAATTTGCAGTAATGTTGCCATTTTCGGCAACGCTAACAGTCTGGAACTGTTACGTAAAGAGCAAGCAGATAAAGGCAGTAGTGCATGACAGAACAATCACTTTGAAAATGTGCAGTCACTTTCGCTATCGACGAAAAGCGATAAGCAAGAAATAAGGACGTGCTTTGTATTTTTTTTTCTTTGTAGCCTGAATAGTACTCCGTGTAGACGACCCACATGAAAGAGCGACGCGCCAGCCGGTCATCCAGCGTTCCTTTGAATCGGCTTCACGCACTCTAGGCTACGTAATGGGCCTTTCCGTTTTAACCGGACCAGCGCGCGCGCGCTCTCTCGAGATGCGTGCGCTCCTTGCGGAGCGTTCTGAGGTTGTGGAGCGAAAGGCGATCGACCTTGCCCGCGTGCTCTGGTGGCGCGCTCTGCCGCACCGCCCGGAGCTTTTGCTGCGGCCGTCTCCAGCGGCACCGGTTGTTGAGTCAGCCTCGTCTCGCCGAGCGCGCGAGGCGCTCGCCGGATCGCCTCCTCCACCGGCTGGACGCAAGCCAGTCGCACCTGGTTTGTGGGTTTGCGGATGCTGCTGCCGCGGACAGCTCTCGCTATGGATACGCTCGCTTGTGCCGCCGCTCTCCTGGTCCTCCTCGTCGCGACGTGCGTCTCACCGGTACCGGCACAGGACGTGAAGTGAGTACCCCGCAGCCTGCAGTGCGTGAAGAACGCACCCACCACGATGGACTATTGGATGTGGTGCTTCACGGTTAAACCGAATCGCGGTGCGGCTGCCACATTTAGATGGGGGCGAATTGCTAGAGAGGCCGTGTGCTTAGCTTTTGGTGCCCCCAGACAGCACCAGATGGTCGAAATTTCTGGAGCTCTCAACTACGATGTCCTTCATAATAACATCATCGTTTCTGGGCCGTAAAACCCAAAATATTATTTAAGTTGCCATGAAAAAATACGAAACGTCATATACACCAGAAGAAAGATGGCGTGGGTCGTGTAAATTTGTTTCATCTACGTAGATAACTTGACGCTGACGGAATTCATCCTTCCCTGAATTATTCGCGTAAACGCATTTTAACAATCTCGACCTTGAAGGAAATACAGCCAAATGTGACCGTAAAGCCTTTCTTGGCACCATGGTGGCTATGTGTAAATCGTGCTGGTCGGGTAATGTCTCAGGGGTTCCTGGACAATTTAACAGGACAGCTTAACAAGACAATTTAAGGCAAAGTGCCGCACACCCAATCGTTTTCACCTTCATCACTTCAGGGCGTACTAGCGTAGTTTCGACTCCAATGCTTAAGTAAGACTCAGCATCGGGGAGCCTTACAATTCTGACACACGCAAAGCTTTGCGCTTGTATTCGTCGCTACTGCACATGCGTCGTACATGGATTATTGCGGTCCCCCCTTATAGGACGAAAAGTGGGCGACGACGACAACGGTTATGTTTGCATACTCTATTTTAAAACTTCCTATTATCAATAATTACCACATTCGTCGTCACATGATGTGGCCATCTCGAGCAATCGCGTGTATCATTCATTATACTGAAAAATGTGAAGTTGCGTTTGAATTCGTGGGTAATGCGCTATTTTTGTATTCAGTGCTTCAACACATGTCTTCGAAAGCGTTTCGTTGGCACTGTTGATCGATGTAGAAGATAGCGATACGTGCGAGCATTAACACGCCATATAGCAATAGCAGTATACTTAGTACACGCCCGTAGCAGAATATCGGCACGTATACGCAGACCCATAGGCGGAGATTCAGGGCCATGATCCTGTAGTTTCAGATGTTCATTTTTTTCAATAATTGGAATAAAAAATAAACGGAGTTTTCGCGAACTTTTGGTGGTGGTTATACACTTGAACTTGGTCGATAGTATAAAAACTAATCACGCTCAATGACTTTTTATTGATTTTTTAGTTGCTTTTAGGACTGATATATGGCTCGCAGCAATTTTAATCAAATCAAGTTTACTTGAACTTTAGTAAAATAGCACTAAATGTTGGGCTTTCACGTCCCCAAAGTACGATGTGATTATGGGGTATACTGTAGTGGAGGGCTCCGTAAATTTGGACAATCTGGTGTTCTTAACGTTTACTTAAACCTAGGTACACAGGCCCTAATTCCTGAGGCCCCTGTACTGAAATAAAAGTGCACGTTAAGAACACTCGATGGTCGAAATTGCCGGAGCCCTCCTCTACGGCGTACCTCAAAATAATATGGTGGATCATCATCAGCCTGACTACGCCCACTACAGGGCAAATGCCTCTCCTATGATCTTCTAATCGACAAGGTCTTGTGCTTTCCGCCGCTACATTACGCATGCGAACTTTTAAACCTCATAGGCCCACCTAACTTTCTGTCTCGCATTTCTGCGTTTGCCTTCTCTGGGAATCCAGTAAGTTACCCTTATTGACCAGCGGTTAATCTGCCTACGTGCTACGTGCCTGGCCCATGTCGATTTCTTCTGGATTTCAACTATGATAACCCTAACTACAGTTTGTTATCTGACCCACTCTGTTCTCTTCTTGTTTCTTATGGTTACACCTATCATTTTCGTTTCTATCACTCGCAGCGTCGTCCACAATTTAAGCTCAACCCTCTTTGCAAGCCTCCGCGTTTCTGCTACGTAGTTAAGTGCTGGCGAGATGCAGCTGCTATATACCTTCCTTTTGGGTGTTAGTGGCAGATTACTATTCATGATGTGAGAATACTTGCCGAATGTTATCTACCCCATCCCTAGTTATTTCAATCTGATGGTTCGGCTCCACGGTTACCACCTGTCCTAAGGAGACATCTTTTACAACTTCCAGCGTCTCTCCACCTATCGCAAAGTGCTGTTTTCTGCCGAGATTTTGGGGGCAGAAACATTACCTTGAGACATTACTTTAGTTTTGTGCATATTGCCCGGCCGCGGTGGTCTAGTGACTAAGGTATTCAGCTGCTGACCCGCAGGTCGCGGGATCAAATCCAGGCTGCGGCGGCTGCATTTCTGATAGAGGTGGAAATGTTGTAGGCTCGTGTGCTCAGATTTGAATGCGCGATAAGGAACCCCAGGTGGTCGAAATTTCCAGAGCCCTCCACTACGGCGTCTCCCATAATCATATGGTGGTTTTGCGACGTTAAACCCCACATATCAATCAAATCAATCAGTTTTGTGCATAATAATTGTCAGACCTGCTCTACTGCTTTCCGTGGCCAGTTCAGTAGTCATGAGCTGTATTTCGTCCATTCAGTTGCTCATCAAGACAATGTTACCAGGCAATCTCAGGTTACTAAGATACTCTCCATTAACTTTTATCCTTAACCCTTCCCAATCTACGGCCCTGAAAACCCCCTGTAAACACGCGGTGAAGAGCATTGGAGAGATTGTGTCTCCCTGCCTTACACCCTTCTTTATAGAGATTCTGTCGCTTTCTTTACAGAGAAGTATAGTGGCTTTAGATTCAGTGTACATTTCTTCCAGTAGGTTTATGTAAAGTTCGTTGATGTCCCCATTCCGTAATGCCTGCACTACTGTTGATGTCTCGACTGATATAGGACGTTAACACCCTAACAGTTATTATTTTAAGTACAGAGAGCTCTAGAGTATCGTCTCCTTCGAGAGAGCGTGGCCGGGATTTCACAAAGCATTGTGCAGCGGCGAGACAATCCTGAGAATTTTTTCCGCGCGCCTCTATAGCGGCCGTGCCGCGAAAGCTGAATCCATCTTCGTGGACTTGATTTGACGAGAACCACGCGAACTTTGAAAGTTCTCGCGTCCTACGGGCAAAGAAGGCAGCGTGATCACTTAGCGACAAGACGTTATATCGGCTATTGGCTCACTCATATCGCTGGCCATAGGATGTGGTGAAGTGATACGTTCGCGGTGAAATTTCGCGGGCAACCTTTTTATTTCCCTTATAGCGGAAGTTGTTACGCATTGTTGTTAACCGTCCAATCCTTTTTTTTTGTTTATTCGCTGCCCTCATGTGGTGATTGGTGCATTTCGTTCGGAAGCAAATGATGTAGTTGACGTGCAGTGCAAGAGAGTATTGAATAGCTGAAAAACAAAATAAAAGTGCCACCACTTCTTTCAAAGGTGATAGCTACTGATAACGGCCGTGTTGTAGGCATCGCTTTGTACTGTGCGCATGCTCTAGTGCCCACGACTGAATACCTGGCAGTGTCCATTCTTTTTATTTCAATGCTCTTTTCAACTGTGGCTACAGTTATGGCTTGCATCATGGTTTGAATGCTTCTTCTTCTTCTATTTTCATGTAACCGAGACGTTACACAGGTAAACAGTGCATTTCGCGAGCAGCATCGGAATCTCTCGCAACATTCGCGATTATTTTATGTTGAATTCTGATGGCAGATCGTGAGTGCTAAGTTTGACCACCAACAGAGCGCTATGCGAACGAGGTCACTTTTGTCAAACCTGCTGTAATGCATGAGCTTCTACGGTAGCAGGTGGAAAACCAAAATATATATATCGAGGTGGAGCCTGCTTATCAGGGATCCGCATGATTACAGCATTCTGTGCGTTTTTTTTCTGCAGACTTCGAAACCACTCTATCGTGGCTTTTTAACCAGCACGTATACGTCAAGCGCTGAATCTCGCAGTCAAATGCTTCACTATGCGTTGGAACAGACAAAAGTGATAGAGTAAATGACCAATCTGGGGAAAAAAATTCCTCCCGCGCTACCACTACCAGTGATGAACGGTATACTGCATAGTTCAATATCGTCGAACGACTTTTTCGACGGAGCCAATTACTTTAGGTCGGCAAGCGAAAGGCTATGCCAGATCCCCTTTGGTACGCAACAGCATTTCACTCGCTGTGTTGAGTGCGAAGAATCCTCACTAGACTCGAAACTTTTTGTGTCCGAGGACCCGCATGTCATGGGATTGAATCCCAGCTACAGCGGCTGCATTTTCGATGGAGGCGAAAATGCTGTAGGCCCGTGTGCTCAGAATTGGGTGCACGTTAAAGAACCCCAGGTTGTCTCAATTTCCGGAGTCCTCCACTACGGTATCACTCATAATCATATCGTGGTTTTGGGACGTTAAACTTCACATATCTATATATTTACTGTCCGAGAGCAACAGCAGAAGCACACGGTGCGAAGTGCTTTTCAAATCGTTCATTGCGACCAATGACTGTAAACATCCCGCCGAGAAGGCAGAAAGGTGGGCCCACAAAATGCTTCATGCGGGCTTTCGGTCAGATCCAGAGACTTTGTATGAGGAAGCATTCTTGCTCCACGGAGCGAACCGTAATCCGTGCTTGCTCCCAATCTGCCATTCGAACGCACAAATCCCGCTCACAATCTACCAGAGGAGTGTGATTGCTTCACACTGAGTGAAAACCTCGATCTAGATCTGCCATTGGAATTCAACATTAGAATGTTCTGATGAACTTGTGCGCATAGCGTGCATAGTTGAGTTGAGGATAGAATCTTGGATGCCACATGTACAAATACTGATGCTCCTTACCGCTGATCAGACTACCAACTGCCGCCGCTGTGTTCTCCCTGTTGTTAGGGCCCAGTGTGAATGGCTTGTACATTGAATCATTTTCTGGGCATACGTTATTCTAAGAGAAAAAGTTTTGCATATGGAGCGTTCATCACAGTCACGCCCGTTCAACAGTGAGATGGCCGTAACAACTGTCGCTATTTCTAGCAAAC